AAAAGTCTTACCTAGAACTTAAAGAGGGTCGACGCAGGGTCAGACACAAGCTTTCAACCTATTCGAAATCCATTAATTTCCATAATTAGTACTATTTTCAAATTTATATATATAGTAAAAATAAGTACCACTAATGTCTACTTAACCAAAACCTATTAAAACTGGTTCATAATAGTCCTTAGATGTATTTATTATTTAAAATATTAAACGTCTTGACTTTCTTTGATATCTTATATTATGCCGTCGAGTATATATAATTTCAAAACAAAAAAAGAATGGATTTATACTTTCATTGGCACTGTTATTGAATCTATTTTACAAATATGTTACAGTCAGTACAATGTCTTCTTCTTCTTTTGTAGTTCCATTTATTATTCTTATAAAAATATATCTACTAATGTTGTTCTGGTAAATTTTTGGATTGAACTACAGATCTATCGTTTATTTTCACTACAGGGTATTTCTTTCTTATATATGCAATACATACATATATTTTTTCATTTTATATTGCACAGTCAGCATTCATTCATGTATCCTTAATAGTAACAACAACTATCACACGACGAGCTAGAGAACGTTAAACTTTCTTTACTCCTCAGGTTAAACCAACCTGCATAGCACATATTTTACTTTGGCATATTTGTCTCTGCCATATTTTAGTGGTTGGCAGCACATAACTTTTCTTCTTTTTTTAATACTTACATACGACTATATAGATATATGTATTGTTCTATAATATATTTCTAAATATATATATATATATATTTGTATATGTATATGTCCTTACTAGTACAAATTTGTTAAGCATTTATTGCATATGGCAAGGACAACAGTTTTTGCGGTATAAACAGTAGTTCCTTTCATTTTCCGTCCTTTTTTTTTCACTTTTTGTTTTTGATCCTAGTGTGGAGAGATACAACTTTGATGTTTTGTTTTAGTTTGTGGCGCGTGTATGTCAAAGTTTATTTTTTTCTAACTATTTTTTCTTAATATTATTTAAATTAAAACAAAATTGTTGAAAGTGACTTTTGTTTGAAATAAATTGCTTTCCTTTTAATATTTTTGTCAAGTTTATTGGTATTGAATCTACCAAAAAAAAATTATTAAATAAATAATTCATCTCCGGAAGCTGGTAGTAGTCTTTGTTGGTTAAAAGCAGAGAACCGCCACACTTGGTAGACACTAAACTGCAAATAATCTTGAGAATCTGACGATGGCTAATATTTACGGCCTGTAAAGGTTCGACTCCTTAAGCAATCGAACAACCAAACTCGTTCATAACGAGTATGTGGCATCAAAACGGCTTGTAACCGCTAAGTGGACCCGCGGATTGCGACACAGTTTGAGTAAAGCAACTCTTATTATGTTGAACCTTATGTTACTTTTCACTTTTTGAAAGTAAGTTTAATAATATACATAGTAATATTTCAGAGGAAACCAAGTCTCTCCCAGTGAAATTTTATCATGTTATAATGCTTAAATGACACAAGTTATCAATATTATGATGAAGAGATGATATTGCATCGTGAACTTAAGATCTATTGTGCTCTCTATTTTGACTCTCTTCAACAAGTAAAACTCTAATTGTACTATTCTTCAAAATTGTAGTTTATTATTAGTTTTTCAGTATCCGTTCAAAACGTTCCACCATTTTTGCGTTAGTGCAGGGTAGCATGTATATAGCGGTCTTTGCCTCCTCATAGCTGAACATGCAAATTTCATAGGATACAATTCCCAGTTTATTTAGATGATAGTTCAACCTACAATATCCTGTTAAAACTCCTGTTACAATTCTCTTCAGGTTCAGGTTTAAAAAATTTATGATAAACTCTGGATAACATCATTCTGCGTTGGCAATTTGGGAAATTGTTTTGTTATAATCTCTTAAGCAATTCTACGAGTCGATATAATTTATTGTCGTCCATTCAGCGGTCCTTCTCCCATGGAATTTAACATAAACATGAAATGAGTTGTTCGCTTTGCTTTTGTTATGCACGCATACAGTCGTCTTTGTAACCTAGGGAATGTGTTAATAGCAATTTTTTGCTTTGTACACTTCTCTTAGAATATTGCCACATTAACACAGGTTACAAGAAAATAATCTTATATTAATAAATTTATATTTTATGCAATCTATTGCTATTGGAATAATTTAAGCGCATACTTCAAACAGTTTATCCATGTGAGACAAAACTAATAATTTTGATCTTTGTTTTAAAGCATTCCAAATGGAAGACAGTTATTTCTAATTTATTAGAGTTAAACAAATATATGTGGAAAAATATTGACAAATATTATTTTTCTTTTTATTTTTTTTCTGATTTAATCAGCAAAGTTTTTATATCCCGCTCTTCTCAGAAACCTTCTAACCTTTTCCAAAGTGCCGCATATTCCCAATATTTAACGCTAAAGCATGTTACCTGCATCAATAACCAATTTCAGGAAAAAATTTCAAAATTTTAGTGGTGAAAAATTTGTCAACTTTAAAAACAATAACAAAAAAATAACAAAATTGGCGTTAAATGCCTGAAGTGAACCCTTACGGTAATATCACCAATAGCAGAACGTCACCGAACGAATCTGGTAAATAGATTTCGTAGTGTAATGCAGACACTGCGGTAATTCCCTAATTTTTCAGTTTGCATAGTACATGCCGCTAATGCGCTCGTATGCCAGGAATTTTTGCCTACTTGCCTTTTTTAATAATCAATAATTACAAAGTTTATAAAGTTCAATATATTCGCAGAGAAGTATTTGTAGTCTACAACTTTGGCAACTGCAGCTTCAGCAACTTCAGCGATTTCAGCAGCTTTAGCAGTTGCTGAGAGACGTGGAACCGCAACGAATGGGGTCAGGTTGGGTTAGCATTTTAACGCTTCAAAATCTGTTTAAACTGAAATTGTGAAGTGTGAAATAACTTTCGTTACTGTTTTTGCACATGAGTTTGTGGCAAAGGCAAATATGTGTTCATAATTATAATTATTTTTACAGCATAAAACTAAACATTGGCTTTGTAATTAAAAATTGTTAGGCTGCTCATTATGACTAACTTCGATATTGGATATTGGATATTGGATGTTGGATGTTGGATGTTGCAATACTGGGTGCTATGGCCATTTTTAGTTTATTTACGCTGCTGTAGTCTACATGTGCCAAGAACAAAGTTAAGGAATTTTGTTGCTGGAGCAAAGTTTTAATTAACCGCTTTTTAAAGTTTGCAGTTATGTACAATAAAAGAGTGGAACAGTGGCCAGCCACTATGGCGGCCAATTAACTGTTCACTGCTTCACCTCCTTTGCTGGCAAAATTAACCAAAATAATTTGCGGTTCGCAATGTCAAAGCGATTAAATTATCTTAATATTGTTTTCTTTAAGTTTCTATTAAAATATCTAATTAGATTAAGTTTTGTTGACACAGTAAACAAATTATAGTCAATTATAACTTAATGGAATGACCTATTTAATTTAAATAATAAGCAAGAACATTTGAAGAATCACTACGAACATTTAAAAGAATGATGATATATTGTACCTAGATAAAAGATTGTATCTCGAATCATTAGTGCAAATTGTGATATATGGAGGGATGGAGGGAGATTACATGTTAAAAAGCAATGAAGAACAAATTACAAACTGTCTGAGCTCAGAGTGTTTTTATAATAATGGAATAGGAGTGGATGAGACTCTTCCATTCAAAAAAAATTTTAAGTATTGCATAGCTAGTACCAAAAACAGAGGACCACCAAAAACATGTCTTATTGATTATATAAAAAAAAACATGAAAATTGGCAACGAAATCAAAAAACTTAGCCAGAGATACATCTTGCATATATCAGACTCACATAATGACCAATAACACTTCCTATTGTTCGTATTAAAAATAATAGAAAAATTAGTATAAGCCTTAGATGGGAGTGGAAAATAATGAAGCAAGCAATATTAATAGTCAAAAGTAAATTATATTTTGTATACTGATAAGCAAATTTTTTAGCCTACAATTTTTCTAATCTGAGTAAAATCTGAGACACTGAAATACGGATGAGTACTGCTTTTGCTGGATACATTTTAGTAACGTGGTGTAGTTGTACTTCTTTACCCGGGTAAGAATATTCTCAAAACACTAAGCTTTAGCTTAGAAAATAAAGTTATCTTGATTACCTCTTTACATTATTGAATGTTCAAAGTTCATAAAAAAATCTATGATTACATGCCCTCTATGCCAATCTTTTTAGTTGGGAGTGCAAGCTTAAAAATAATACCTTATTGAGCTAATTGAGAAACCTAAACCCAAAGGGCAGGCTGTATTAGAAAATTCGCTTTTTAAGAAAAATTCATTATTCGATATTTGCTAATTTTTAAAAGGAAAAAATCTTAAATTAATAAATTTGCTAACAATTACTAAAAGTATTTTGTTTAAAAATATCGTAAATTTGTAATTCATGCGATGTGCCATTTTTTAAATTGACAGCACCGATCATGTCTTTCACTACAAGTGTTAAATAAAATTGTCTGACAACTAGTTTACTTGCAAAATCGAATGATTGAGTCATTAATTGATAGTGTCTGCAAATTGACATTATCAATAGATTTTCATCTGTTTTTGGTGAGGCTTTTATGTAAACATCGTCACCGATGACGAGACATTAGATGCATAAATATGAACAACCCTGTCAAAAATTATCTAATGAAGTCTTCTGTGTATACAACGCTTTCGTTCTATCGGAAAATGTATCTTTCCAAAAACATATGAGTCAATCCACCAGAACAGTTGTTAGTCGTTAGTTGAACCTGCACATACATTTCGTTAGTCCGAATCTTTTTCGATAGGTTAGGAATAACTCCATCAACTACGAGTCAACTACGGTTTCGTAAACGACTTAGGTGACTGTATGGGGCATTTTAGTACCAGTCAACCCTAACCTAATAAAACCTAAAGACAATTCGTACCTACATTGCTTTGGTCAAATATCAATTATTTCTACTATTATTTATGGTATTATTTATAACATTAAAATAATAAACAATCATATTATCATCAGTTAATTGTAGTGACTTAAAGTTAATTTAGTGTTGATTAATATAAATGGTTTATTTGGCACGTTTGAAAATGGTACTGCTGCAGAAGCTACTTCTCTGAATCCATGATTTAATCAGGATACCAAATATCCATAGCCAAGAGGTCGTCTTTCGAGCCATTTACATCAACTGCTTCTTCAGTCCTATATTGAAATATTTAACTATATAATACAAATTTTGACTCAATTGCAGTTTATACCTTTCAGATGGTAGTATGCCATCTGCAGCAGTATCAGTTCCTCGGTTAGAATATGTTCTTGGTGTTAATGCCACTACTGCTTCGACGCAAACATGATGCGCTTCAATTACCTTAATGGAGAATTGTTCAGTTTCTTTTTATGTTATCTATTAAATATATGATTAACTTACATATCCAACTATTTTCAGCAGAAACAATACCAACATATTCAGAATCACAGTTGTAAACAATAGAGCCATTAGAATGAGTGCATGGTTTTCAACCGTAGTATCCTCTGAAGCGTCCATAGTATCCATTTGTACCAAACTGTAAACTTATTGTTACGGAAGAATTTGGAGGCTACAAAAAAAATTGAAAACTATTGTTAAATTGTGAAGTATGAAGTATTTTTTTTTAAATGTGTCAGAATAAAAAATTTTACATTGACATTTAAAACGAATCTGCTTAGTTATTGCTACATTGATTTTATAAACTAAAGAATGGATATTTTGGAAATAATTGCCTTGCCTTGCCTGCTGGGGTCGCTGATATTAAAAAGTATATATTTTTATAAAATGAAAAATCAAGAAAAATCTAAATAAGCTCCCACATAGAGAGCAGCAGCTGCTATTATAATTTATTGTGCTGACACGTACATATATATAACCTATGTAGAAATATATGTGCAATCAATTATAATAAAATTCACACCAATTAATGCCATTAAGTAATTTTTTTTGTTTTTTTTTTCTTGCTACTTGCATATGGAAACGAGCTGTACTGTCAGAGTGGTTGTTATGGAAGCGTTTTATTTTTTTGTTAATTTCGAAATGAATATAAAATTTATGCAAAACTTGGGTGTCTGGGTCAACTAAGTTAATAACTTGCAATTGCGACTACTGGGGCTGTACCAGTTCCAATGGAGATTGAGCACTTGCTTCTCATTAAGTTCTATTTAAACTTATAGATATAAGCATAATAAAAATTTAATTTTAAATTTGAAATTGTTAAAAGTCCATTAAAATACACCATAAAAAATTAAGTAAAATGCATAAAAACTAAATCAATTTTTTAACGTCCTTACATCTTTCGAGTTGAAAATTGCAATTTTAAAGAAATTTCAGAAAAAAAAATTATTATGCTCGAAATATTTCATTTTAATATATTCTAATTTTATTTTTTTCTTCTCATATACTTTTTATAGATATATAGATTACATATAGAGAAGAGATATATACAAAACAAAAAAAAAAAATTCAATTTGCATGCTTGTCCAGTCGATTTATTTCAATAATGTCCTTTACGCTTACAATTCATGCACATTAGAGCAAGGAAGCAGCATTTTTACGCTTCTCTGCAGCACAATGCTTCATTCCTTTATTCTCTTATTTATTTATTTATTATTACGTTTTGCTTTTGTTTTTGTTTTTGTTTTTTGTTTACTTGTATTTTTATTTTATATATTCAATTTCTTTCCTTTCATCTGTTGCCCTAAGTAAGCTTTTTCCATATACTCATTCATGCAGAATTCATCACGTCTGCATTTTGAGTACATAAAATATATTGTCTGAAGGATTTAATGTGCTGTTGAAGAATTATATTCCTGACGACAGCGTCAATTCAGTATCATAGGATGTGACTGACTGGTGGCGATTGTGGGGCAAAGTTATTTAAAGTTGAGCATTTTTCAACTTTAATGTGTGCCACTCAGTTTAATATTAATTTATTAGAAAATGAAATTTAATTTTAATTTCCGATTAAAAGTTATTCATTTCAACAGATCTCGAAAAAAAATAACTGCTGGAAAATGTATTTTTAAATTAATAAATAATGGAATTAATGATATAAATATCTAAAGTGAATATTCACATTCAAAATAATAAAAAACAGTTCAATAAATGTTGTCATCGTTTAGTATCCCTTTTGTTTTTACTCTGAAACTAATATTAACGCCATCTATTGATTTCTGATTGATTGAAATTAGACTCTATCATTAATTTGTCATCATTAAGCTAGCAATTTAATTAATTGTTAATTAAATAATATTTACAGTTACAGATTGAATTTCATTTAATCAAAAATTAATTTTCTTTAAATGCCCTAACAACTTCTATAACTATTCGGATATAATATAGTATTCATATATATATAATATTATAATTTTTAAAAATCTGAATGATACTTCGCGAAACTTATTTTGCTATCCCTAATTTTATCTAGAAAAATTGTGGATTGATAGACTTAACCACGTATATATTGAATCATGGGTCTATACATGGTATATAGTAAATGTACTAAATCCATTTCCTGATAATTGCAGTAAACGAACAGATAATGTAGGTTAGGATACTTTTTGCAGAATCTAGAGGTATCAATGTTTTGAAGTCTCATCTCTAAAGTAGAAGTACTTAATAATAGGTACGTTTGAAGGTAGTTTCGAAACCATTAAATAGTAAATAATCAGTAAATAATCAATACACTTTTTTGTGTTACCCCGAATAATTGAGCTGTTTGGATTGCTTTAGTCTTTTGGCATCCATTATTCACTTCGTAAACAAATTTATGTTCGTTCTATTACTAATGCAGTCCGTCAAGCGGATAATCTTCAGATAAACTCTAGTTCTTTAAAATGCATTACGGCACCATT